CCCCTCACGCTGCGTACCGCCGGGCGCTTTAGCTCGAGCATGTTAGGGCTGATTCCCGGCTGTGGTCTCAGGCCAGTGCTCCGTCAGGCCCCGTCGCTGTCTCTCTGACTGTCTGTGGATATAATTTTACAGTTGGGTGGCTGGAGGTAGCGACGCGGCAGGCGGTTGGCCCCCAGGGTCAAACAGAGACATAGCTGCAGGCAGCAATTTCCTTGCAGCTAGAATGCGCATGTGCCTGCAAGGTGAGCACCTGCACAAGCTTTCGGTACAACGGTGAGTGTGTGCTGTTATTGAGAGGCTTTGCTTGTGCATATGTATGAGCGGTGTGTGTGTGTACAATGTGGGGTGTTAAACTGCAGGTGAGAGTTGCGGTGTGATAGGTGGACAGATATCATGTTGGGTGGTTCGACTAGCCCTGCAGGGGTTTGACTCTGTGTGCCGAAGGATTTCATCACTTTGGATGCCTGGTGTACAGAACTCCAAGTGTATGTTGTGGATGCGTGTGTGTGTGTGTGTGTGTGTGTGTGTGTGATGGATCCTTTCTTTATCAGGATTACTTATCCCATCCCCACCGCCATGTCTCCCAGGGGTGACAGGACTAATTTCAGACAGATCTTCCCCTTAAGCAAGCTGCTGGCTATGGGTAACATCCCATACCCCTCCCCCAAAACCCTCCAACACCAAACCTCTGCATGGACGCTGACACATCGGCTTAGCCCGTACCTCACCAAAGCTAGCCAGCCACGGTTAACGCTGGCTGACAACTAACACACACACATAGATGACTGATCTGGATTTAATCTGATCCCAGGCCAGTGAGTTCTGCGCCAAATCACTGAAAACAACAAAACCTAAGAAAAGTGCTAGAATAACATTCAAAAATGTAAGTTCTGTAAAACCACCAAACAAAATGTTGTACAAAAAGTTGTTTTGTACAAAAAAAAAAAACATTTTAAATATTTAATATGAATAGCCATGAGAGTAAATTGTGTTTGCAAGCATGTCTAAAACAAACCTAAAAATGTGCTAAAGTAATGTTCAAAAGCTAAAAAAAAGCTAGTAAAATCAATAGGGGTGACCCTGAATAGTGGACGATTCGATGCTTTGATAGTAGGAGCCTGATTCGACTACCAATCTCACAGTCGAATTCGCGGGGTGTTATGATCATGCCATTTTGGCTATATGGGGGTGCTCAAATGTCTGATTTCACATAGAACTACTGGTTTTCTCCCAATAAGTTACGCTGCATGCATCAGTGAGTGTTTCTGTGAGTGTGTGAACTGCATCTCTCTAAGTATTGTGTAATAAGCACTCTCCAGTCCTGATGTACGGCTCTCGTTCCCCTCACGCTGCGTACCGCCGGGCGCTTTAGCTCGAGCATGTTAGGGCTGATTCCCGGCTGTGGTCTCAGGCCAGTGCTCCGTCAGGCCCCGTCGCTGTCTCTCTGACTGTCTGTGGATATAATTTTACAGTTGGGTGGCTGGAGGTAGCGACGCGGCAGGCGGTTGGCCCCCAGGGTCAAACAGAGACATAGCTGCAGGCAGCAATTTCCTTGCAGCTAGAATGCGCATGTGCCTGCAAGGTGAGCACCTGCACAAGCTTTCGGTACAACGGTGAGTGTGTGCTGTTATTGAGAGGCTTTGCTTGTGCATATGTATGAGCGGTGTGTGTGTGTACAATGTGGGGTGTTAAACTGCAGGTGAGAGTTGCGGTGTGATAGGTGGACAGATATCATGTTGGGTGGTTCGACTAGCCCTGCAGGGGTTTGACTCTGTGTGCCGAAGGATTTCATCACTTTGGATGCCTGGTGTACAGAACTCCAAGTGTATGTTGTGGATGCGTGTGTGTGTGTGTGTGTGTGTGTGTGTGTG